AGGTCTAAATACAGTGAATACAGTGTTAAAACCCGTTACCTTAAGGCCATGAATTATAAGGTAACCCCGAGATACTCGCAACCATACTAATAGACACTAGAGAACTTGACGCCCTGCAAGCATCAGTAATAATGTGACATATGTCACCCTTTAGGCTTGGTAGGCCGGGGACTGTAGCTAGCAGTCAGGGTGTGGGGGTGTCAATCATGTATAGATCTATACACATAATTCCCACTCTCCCTACAAGAGACTTTGGTTACTATCCTGACAACGGAGAAGGCCGTGTACTGAAGATGTATCTCGTGTAGTGAGATCTGATGTGAAATACTGGACTAATGATAGAGACTCACAACTGAACTGACTAAAGTAAACATATATGTCTATGCTTGTATACATAATGTATAACTAATGATCAAACGACCTTCGGACGGGTATTCGGTCCCACCAGACCACATCTCAACGAAGAAAAGGAAATAGGGCGAACTAGCCTTCCTATGCCCTTTAAACATTATTTGTATAACTATACAAGCATAGGCATACATTTAACTAAGTTTAATGTTTAACGAAGTAGGAGTGTTTCCCAAGGTATAAGAGTTAACGAATAGGGGCGTATCATGAAGTAGAAGCGTATCGTGAAGTATAAGTGAATTGTGAAGTATAAGTGTATCGTGAAGTATAAGTGTATCGTGAAGTATAAGTGTATCATGAAGTATAAGCGTATCGTGAAGTATAAGCGTATCGTGAAGTATAAGCGTATCGTGAAGTATAAGCGTATCATGAAGTAAAAGCGTATCGTGAAGTAAAAGCGTATCGTGAAATATAAGCGTTAACAAAGTAGTAGCATTAACTACGAGGAATTATAACGAAGCAGTAGTATCTAACAAAGTAGGAGTATAAAAACATGGAAGAAAACTTCAGTGAAAAACTTTGGAAAACCCTTTATACTTAAGTTTCGAACGAAACTTTGATAAAACATTTTGACTAAAGAAATCCTTTGTTTAACATACTGCCATAACGGGATTTTAAGTAAAACATACAACGTGGGAAACAATTTGAGAAAAGCTTTGTACACATAAAGATGTTTTGGACGACCATTTACAGTATCATACTTGGTAAAACAGTTAACAGTGTAATAAATCCTTGTACATGCGGGTTATCAATCACATGTGATTGATATGATAACTGGCATGTTTAACTTGTATTCCCCCCCCCCCCTTAAAAGCATGTAAAAACATTTAAAATGTTAATTCAGGGGTATGAACTCACCTGTTGTAAGTGAATCCGACGAAGGTGCCAGTTGGGTGCTCGGTGTCAAGTAAAGACTTGAACACACTTAGTGACCTATTAAACATATGATAACATATGTTTACATACAATTAGCAAATATAATACTAATTAAACACGTATACGCATCCTAAAGTGCGGAAAACACCTTGGTTAAGTGCTTGGAGTGTCTCGGGTAACATCTAAGGGTGTGTATGGCTTAGATCGGGAGTTTACTCTTCAAGAGTAAACTCTTTATGGAGTTCATGGTCCTGGGACTAACTCCCCATGAGTTTACGTCCGTAAACTCATGGTGAGGGTGTTCTAGGATGCCAAAGTGTCTTATATCACTCAAGAAATTAGGATAGACTCAAATCTAGGGCTTATGAAGGGTTTAAGGCCTCACATGGACCATTTTTCGGAGTTTACGGTAGTAAACATGGAGTTTACGGCCGTAAACTCCTAGTCACCCTTTCCTTTTGTGTTTTAAGGTCTTAAATGATAGAGAATAAAGTTCTATGCATTTTTCCAAGTTAAATGGGGAGTTTAGGGCATCATTTGGGCACCATTTAGGAGTTTACGGCCCATAGACCTTTCCTAGGGGGGTTTACGGCCGTAAACTCATATTTCCTTGGTTTCTTTAATGTTTAAAGCATTTACATTCATGGAATTGCTTCTAGACATTTTTCCAAGGCCATAGGAGGTGTTTAGGGGCATTTCCAACACTTAAACTTGAGTTTACTCCCCATGAAGAGGAGTTTATGGCCCAAGCAAGTTCTTGGGTAGTAAACTCAAGTTTACTCCCCAAAATGTAAGTTCAATGTGTTCTAAGTCCGTTTCCATAAGTCATTTAGCCATATCTAAGCCTTAGGGGTAGTTTAGAGGGGTTTTGGTGCTTAAAAACCCCATTTAATGGTGTTCACGGTCCAAGAGTGTTCTTGGGCCGTAAACACATGAATTTACCCCTATTTGATGTTTTAAACACGAATTTGCATTCTAGCTAAGCTATACTACAAGTTAGGATAGAGTTATTACTCGTTTGGGGCTCGAAACGGACGATTTTGGCTCGAAATTAAGTTGTAGAGAGAGTGTAGAGAGAGAGTAAAAAGGGTGGAAATGAAGTTTACTCTCCCTTATATAGGGACTTGAGTTGAGGCTCAGTGTAAATCTACCTGATACTGCTGTTAAACGGGGCTTTTGGTCGCACCCGATTTTAGTGGTCGTATTTTGACTTGGTTGAAACTAGAACTTTTCAAGGGATTAGTGAGGGTGTTTCTAATTTGTTTTCAACCTTTACCAAGTCATTATAAAAGTTCCAAATTAATTAACCAATCCAAAGGTTAACGAACAGTTTAATAAAGCGAGACTTATTAACGGAAGGAGGGGTTAAAATGACGGAATAAATTTCGGGTTGTCACACGTTTTGATTTTTGGATGGGTTGGAAGGAAGCATGTTTGTGTGGACCCTACGGGGGTATTTTCTCTCGTGTTTTTGAGGGCTGGGGGTTTCATGACGAGACATACTGCTTTAAAAGCTGCTACTTTCAAGGTTAAAAACATGAAAAATGATGCATGAAAAATCGATACGTGTTCATACAATTTACATTAGATACGTTTGGTTTCCTCGCGCCGGATGCAGTGAAGCTTCTTAATAGAGTACAACGAATTATACATAGTAATGTTATATCCCCTAGAGTTATGGATGTAGTGTTTAAAAGAATTGGTTTTACCATACAAAAAGGTTTAGCGACGCAGCTTGTTGTCTGTTTTCCTTCTCACTCGTTGTACGGTGATAACTAAGTTATGAATATATAAACATTGAGAAATCGTAATATGTAAAATACCGATTGTTTTTTGTATTGCTTATTTTGATCTATAAATTATTTATTCATCAATTCCAACATTTATATGTGTGAATTCTGCTAGTCTCAATAAGAACCAAAGATTATGGGTGAGCGAAAAACCAAACTATAAATAGAGTTGAAAATAATAAGTATTTTCATTATTCAATCTCATATTTATTATTTATTGAATTTGGGTATTTTGTGTCAATGGTACAATACCTGCATTCTTTCATAAATGAAATAAAATTGGAAAAATAGGGTTATTTCTAGTTGGTTTGGATTTGGAATGTTGTGGACTGTGGAGCTCTATTTGAAACTTCAGGTATAACACGCAAATCTGATACATGGATAATAACCAAGACCCGATTCATATCCATGACCTGGGGTATAAATTAAAAGAAGGAGTGGGTTACGTAATTAGAGCATATATTTTCCCAACTTTCAGTTCTCCCTCTCTCGTTCACACCAGCAAAAGTTAGGGTTTCACAGTTTTAGTTCTTTGTACGTTTTATCAATTTGTTTTTCATTCTTAAAGTAGATTAGGATGAGTGATTCATTCATAGAGTAGATTAGGGTTTTGTAGTGAGATTTAAGTTGTAACTTGAAAACCTTCGGTTTCTTAATCCTTAATTGATATAAGAAATGTTAATGTTAGAAAATTTAGGTTTATTTGTTTTTAACAAAATCGAAAAATAAAACCAAAGGTTTGGTTTCTATTTTTTTTTTCAAAAACCGTAAGTTTCAGCATTTGGAATGGAAAATTTTGAAAAAAACAAAACCAAATCAATTTATATAAAGTGTTATAAAATATATTTTATGTATATCTTATATAAAAAATTTATGCATAATTTTGTATGAAGTAAACCAAGTGGTTAAGGTGTTGGACATTTGAACCTTATGGTATAAGGTGGGAATCTTGTATTTGACATATATTTTGTATTTTGCTAGAGACAATGATGCATCCCACGACTATGCCTATATGAAATCTCAACCAATTTCATCTTGTATATAAAATAACTCATTTGTTTTTAACTTTTAACTTTGAGGAGTCACATATCAACCGTTATAAAAAACGTTGTACTTTCTCATTCTCTATATAATAATACTTTTTTAAAAAAAAAAAATTGAAAATATACAAACCGATCGGTTTAGGTTTAAGTTTGATTTAATTTGGACATTTGAAAACCGATGTTATTTTGTTTGGGGTTACCCGACTCATATTCACTCATGCCAAAGATTATGTTTTGATGTAGTAGTATTCTCCTCAATTTGAGTTATAGATATTCAAAAGTTAAGAACTTAAAAACCAATGAAATAGAACATTATCTACAAAATTGATTTTTTTTTTCAATAGCTCATAAGTTACAAAACCTATTTTCGTTGCATAAATTAAAAACTACTTAAGTTGGTTGCAATACCTAATCATAGGTATTTCTTCATTATAAATTACTTTTTATCTAGTTTATTGCTAGTTTAATAAAAAAAATATACATATAATCTATAATAAGCTTATTTATTCTATAAATTTATATAAACAATGCCCATTATTAACCCAAAATTAATCATCAAAATTTAAAATCACGATAACCTCAAACATGTCGAAACACTCCTAAATCAAAATTATTATTATTATTATTATTATTATTATTATTATTATTATTTTGGAAAAAAATACATTGATCTGTTTTATTTTATTTTTTATTTATAGAATTATGGTAATTTACTGATGTAAAACAGGTCCACCTGGCGTAGAAATGGAGCGGTGTTGCTGATGCGAGTAATATTATACGTAATAATTCAACAGAGCCAACTAGTCGTTGAATTTATCATCTTCTACAGCACACATAAAAGCAAAGATTCATCATTCACACAAACATATGTTCGAAGACAACCATAGAGAGAGAGAGAGAGAGAGAGAGAGAGAGAGAGAGAGAGAGAGAGAGAGAGAAACAGATTCAGCAAATTTTGGTCTCAAGTCACAATCACCACCGATTAACATCACCTCCAGATCCAAAGTTTGGTCTCAACAAACCAACTTTCAAGTTTCAGAAGAGTATTTCCACGATTGAGCTCAGATTGCTTCATCTTCATGGTAGATATTGACTAACTTATTGTTATTAATGATTCCAGGTAAACATTCTTCAAGTATGGAACATAATTCATCTACTTTATCTCCTTTTTATCGATTGTCTTTGGTTTTTAACTTTTTACGGTTTGTTCGACTTGATTTATACCGAATTAGGTTTTTGGTTGTTCAGTAGTGGTTTAGCTTTGATATAGTTCCTAATTTGGTAGTTCGATTCGTGCTTCTTACTTAGTTCTAACTATGAATCAAATGTAAAGCTTAGTATGTGATAATTAAGAAAGTTTGGGATCCTAGATTCAAGATTATACGATTTCAAACTGAATTTCGCTTCAATTCCAAGCTGTTCGACTTGTGTTCCCAAATTTAAGATTAGGGTTTTTACTTTGTCAAGATTCCACCTTTTGAATCATAGTTTTTCTCTACAATCTATTACCAAAAGAGGGAAAAAAAACCAAATCTTTCCTTGATCTTACAACAATCCATCATCCCAAACAAGAAAAATCTTGTGTTAGGTTGCGTTTTCTTAACTGAAGCATTATTTTGAAGGTTAAATGGAGAACAAAATGAGGATGAGGAACAAATACAGGAAACCAACCACTTTACATTGCTATGCAGGAAGCAGATATAGCAAGTTATCAATTGTGGTATGCAGCCTCATAGGATGCCTTATTATGTTCCACTTCTACTTCTTGAATCAAAGTCAACAAAGTCAAACTGGAGTTCCACAAATGCAAACAAATTATCATCCATTATATCGTGAACTCATAGAAGTTGAAGATGACACCATTAAAATCCCACCACCAAGGAAAAGATCACCACGTGCTATAAAACGAAAACCTAAAAGGCCAACCACTTTGATTGAGGAGTTTCTTGATGAATCTTCTCAACTTAGATACTTATTCTTTCCTGGTGTAAAAACAGCCATTGATCCGATGAAAGATGGTGGAAATGAGAGTTTTTATTATCATCCTGGAAGGATTTGGTTGGATACTGATGGGAATCCTATTCAAGCTCATGGAGGTGGGATTCTTTATGATGATAGATCATCAATGTACTATTGGTATGGTGAATATAAAGATGGGCCCACTTATCATGCTCACAAAAAGGCTGCAGCCCGGGTTAGTATTGTAAAATTTGTCGATTCTTTTATCTATTTGTCTTTTTGAGGTGGGATTAAAGATTTAGAGAGACTTAGACAAGCTGAAATGTTATCTATGTGTAAGGGTAAAATTGTCATTTAGGTGCTGTTTGTTTTCTCTAAAAAACCACTTAGACCACTTATTGCTGCGTCGAACAACACTTGGCCCTTCACAGCTGTTTGTTTTTTAAAAGACTTCTGACTTAATGACTGTTGTGCGTGTGCTGCGTGACGCAACAGTATACCAATTGCTTGAAACCTCTTCACACCTTACTTTAACTTACTGCATCAGTCTGCAGAAGTTAAAAAACAAATGGACTTTTTATTAAATGTTGCAGCCGTTTGGTCCACATCTTCTGCTACAGAGTGTTGCAGAGGTGGTTCGCAGACTTGAGATATTTTCGCTTCGAAAAAACAAACAGCACCTCATTCAGACGGTTTATTCTTATGCATAAGGGGTTAAGCCAGAAAACTTAGCTTAATGTATTAAGACTCTACCCCTTTTACCTATTTGCCTTTCGACTTTTTCCTCTCAATTTCTCTAATGTTAAAATTGATTAATTTTGTTGAAATTGACGAATATTAAGAAATTTGTTTGCGTAAAATTGTCATTTGGTCTCATTTAGACGGTTTCTTCCGTTTAGAAAAGAAACAAACCTTATGCAAACGTGACCTACTTTGATGTTGTAGTTCATAGTTCCATTCCCATCAATTTGATTCCAAGTTTTCGTTTATTAGCATATCAATCTATTATTATCTAATAATTACTTTTATTAATTAATTTATAAATATACTAATATTCTAACAATACAAGTTCAATTTTGATTGTAGGTTGACATCATAGGAGTAGGTTGCTATTCTTCGAAAGATCTCTGGAAATGGAAAAACGAGGGAATCGTTCTACCCGCCGAACAAACCGACGAAACTCACGATCTCCACATTTCCAATGTTTTAGAACGCCCAAAAGTAATCTACAACCAAAACACAAACAAATACATAATGTGGATGCACATCGACGACAGCAACTACACCAAAGCCGCAGTCGGAATCGCCGTTTCCGATTCCCCCACCGGTCCCTTCACCTACATCAAATCCACCCGACCGCACGATTCCGATTCCCGCGACATGACAATCTTCAAAGACGATGATAACACCGCGTATCTAATATATTCTTCTGATGACAACTCCGAGCTGCACATCGGGCCCCTCACAGAGGACTACCTCGATGTGACATCCGTCGTCAGACGGGTGCTGGTGGGCCAGCACCGCGAAGCGCCAGCCCTTTTCAAACACGAAGGGACCTATTACATGGTCACTTCGGGTTGTACGGGCTGGGCTCCAAATGAGGCGCTGGCCCACGCTGCTGAGAATATTATGGGGCCGTGGGAAACTATGGGGAACCCGTGTGTTGGGGGTAATAAGGTCTTTCGACTTACGACTTTTTTTGCGCAAAGTACGTTTGTGTTTCCGTTACGTGGGTTTCCGGGTGTTTTTGTGTTTATGGCGGATAGATGGAATCCGGCGGATTTGAGGGATTCAAGATACGTGTGGCTGCCTTTGTTGGTTGGTGGACCGGTTGATAGACCGCTTGATTATTCGTTTGGGTTCCCGTTGTGGCCACGGGTTTCCATTTATTGGCATAAGAGATGGAGACTTCCGTATAAATTGAGTGTGAAAAAATGATTTTTTTTTTTTTTTTTTTTTTTTTTTTTTAAATTTACGGGTATACGGAGTGTTTGTACATTATATATATACTGGTGGTAGTATGTATTGTTGTGTATGAGCGTGTGTAATTAGAGAAATAATGATGAGCATGTTAGATTATGGGAACAAGGTATTTGTTAGTGAGTCTAGTTTAACAGAAGCAATTTATATGACAAAACCACAAAATCATATGAACATGATAGATGACACGTAAGGTATGTTATGTGTGAATATATGCATCGCCCATGTTTGGAACATAAAATCTTAGTATATTATTTTAGCCGATAACTCATTATTAAATTAAATATAAGGTAAAACTGACAGTTAAGTCTACGGTTGCCAAAAATACATTTAACCACTAATTATCCTTTTTAATTTCATTCCGAGTCCGACCCAAACCCGATTTCCGGAATGCGCTCTTTAACCCATTCATTACACGCTTTCCGAAACGCCTGGGACTCCCTTGATCACTCGAATGATCCGACCCATTTTCCATATCCACAGCCTGAAAACTACCCGAAGAAACCGACCCTCTTTGCCCTCTCTCTACCCTCCTCTCAGTCTCGGAGCTAAACCGGAAACTCTCGGACTTAACCCGATCCGTAATATGACCCGTATCCGATTTGTTCAGGATCTTCCTCATCCCATTAAGCTCTTCTTCCAAGCTTTGAATACGGGTGCTCGTGTAGTCCATGGTGGCTTTCAGTTGCGCAACTTGGCGTCGCGCGGCGTCGCGTTGGAGTATGGCGCCGAGTGTGACGGTGGTGGCGCCGGCGGCCGGTTCTTTTATAGGGTGGTTTTGGTTTTTGAGAGTTTTGGCGGCGGAGAAAACGGAACGACGAGTGTTTAGTTGCTCGATAAACATAGCTTGAACCACGAATCTTAATGGCATTCTAGGGTTTTGAACTGCGTGCATCAGGATTTGAGAAGATAGATTTGAACAGTCGATGTAATTACAGATCTTGCTTCCTTCTTCCTCCGTCATCTTCCCGCCTTCTTCCTGAATTCAAAATTGTTACAGAGATCGAAAGATGAAATCTATTTGACTATGTCAATTAATAGATAATATCACCTTGAAATAGAAGTCGATGATTCTATAAAGAAGATCATGACTACCGGCGACCTTCTGGTGCAAAGCCCCGACGACTAACCGGAACTCTTCACCGGACAACTCCTGAACGCCATCAAACCAATTAAAAACATCACCGTCGCCGACTTCTCGATTTATCCTCAAAGCCTCTATACACTTGCTTAAAAGCCCTGTTCTCGTCTCTACCTCCGGCAAAAGTTCAATGCATGACTTTAACACCACCGTCGCGTAATCACGATCACCGGCCACTGCCCGGTGAAAGTACGCCTCCGTCTTCCGCCGGAGATTCTCAACGTTGTCTGAATCATCAGTCATTTCGAGCAAGTCGGAGGCAAGTAAAAGAGAAGCGAGGTTGAACGGCGTAAGGAAGAGGTTGCCACCGTAGCAGTAGTCGACGACGAGAGTAAATGTGTGAGGCGTTATCTTTAACGCCGGCGAAAGAGACACTTCTGAGGACTCCGTTAATTGCCGTTTCAGATATCTACTGCATTGCGTCAGAGGATCCTATGTGTAACATAAAAATTACAAATAATTATTCATAAATGAGATCATTATTGCATTAAATGTTAATGTTACAAAATTTATTACATTCTTATACTCCAAAACATGGAATGAAAAATAATTAAATATCAAATATATTATTAGCATCAAAGCACAAATAATTATTTTATGAATTTAGTCTGGTATATATAAAATGAGTATTGATATTTTATATCAACTTTTTGTGCAGGCTAATAAATGTAAAAGAATGTATTAGTTGTTTATTAATTAAAGGTATTAAATACCTTGTATAAGAATGGCAAAAAGAGTGTGATCTCAATGTGTAATCCATACGTTATCTTTTCAGAATAAGTTTATTGGTTCTTTTTCATACTATAACATCATTAATTGAAATTTTGAAATAAACAATTGATATAAGTACATAAAAATATATTGTTATATAACATTTGAAACAAACAATTGATATGAGTACATATAGTATTTATTTAGGCCAATATTTGTACATAATATTTCTAATCATACATAACAATTGTTATGTTTTATATAGTTATAGAGTGAAATATATCACTAAAATATTTTAGTTGCATATAAATCACTCCCTATTAATTTACCTTGTGTAAGTGAAAAGTTGACCCTTGAACATGTACAATCACATTGGGTTCAACTCCATTATTGAAGGACCTAAAGCATAAGAATAAATAATAATGAAAAGAAAAACATTAATTAATGATATTGAATTATGAAGTAAAAGAGAAAAAGTATAAGATGGAGGATGAGATGACTTACCAAAGTTTAACTCGGGAACGGAGAGAGGTGGTGGAAGGGGAGGAGGTAGGTGGAGGAGAGGAGGGAGAAGGGGTGGTTGTGGAGGAGGAGGAGGAGGAGTCGCCGGAATCTTCCTCGTAGATGGTTTCCACCACCTTGAGATTTGGCCAGCCCTCCAAATCAGCCACCGCGGATTCCATCGTTGTAAATCCTCCGTACGTGTTTGTAGAGAGAATATATAGACAGTTACCAAAAAAATAAAAATAAAAAAAGGTTTTAATTGGTTTTGATTGTTGGGGTGTTTTGGGGGGAATTGATAAGCCATATACTGCTGCTTAGGCGCATTCATGACGTTGCATGTGATGAGCCTTAAATGCTCCTTACACCTGCCTAAGGTACCATTTTGCCATTTTCTTAAGTTTTTATTTTTTGAATTTTGATTAGTAATTTGGGCGGTATATCATTTTATTTCTTCTTCCAATCGAGAATAACGACTCATAAAGGTGTGCATAACTACATATAACTTTTGTGTGGCACTTTTTTTTTTTTTTTTTTTTTTTAAATTACAAATAAGAATGACGACTCATAAAGGTGAATAGTTGTTTCTTGTATATAAACTAGGAGTAGGTGTTGTGTGTGTAAGATAAAATCATACGACTAAAATATCGGTTAGTAAAATTTCGAATAGGTTTCAATTAATGTTTACACATATAAGAAAAATATAAATTATTTATGATTTATGATAAATCTTCATAAATGATTCATGTCGTATTTTGGAATATAGTATCTAATTTTTTTCCGGTCATATAGAAGGTCTTTATTACTTCAATTTCTATCGTGGTTTATTTTTCACTATATAAAAAACTTTAATACCCTTTTTAATTTTTTTGACGTTATCTTAAACTAACTTTAACTTATATATAAAAAAAATTATACCAAACCCATCCTAAAACACACCAATCTCTATAATTCTCACTCTCACTCTCGTCTCTTTCATGAAATTGTAATCAATGCCTTAGTTTCATTCCTTTCTCTTTTCATCACCGCCTTGGGTCTGTTGGCCTTCTGCACACAGCAGGACCGCCTCAACTGAACCAACCATCACATATTCACATATAACATAATGAAACATAGCTAGCATATACATGCAGTCATACAGGTTTGTAACGCCCACAAATTCGGGCTAGTCAATTTAGAGACAATAAACGTTAAAAATGACTTTTTGATAGAAGATTATTTAGAATAAATAATCTTAACTAAGTTATAGTATATGTCACAAGGGTTCCATATATATAAAGAACATTGAAATCTGAGTTATAACGAAGAAGTTATGACCCGTCGAAGTTTTACGGTAAAACCGACACGACACTGGGAATCTTAAAAAGTAAGTTTGTGATAAAATACTTTTTAGCCTTAGCAATCTGAACAAAATTCATAGTATATGTTAAACCGAGAGCATGCATAAAAAGAACGCCCAACTCTGACTTCGTATGAGGTAGTTATGATTTTTCTAAGATTTAGCACAACAGTGCACAACCCAAAATTCGAATTTTAGACCGATCGTTTTAGCCAACACAATTAAAACGAGAATTGAAGATCTAGTTAATAGGAGCTCAACGATATAAAGACAGGCGAAAACGGATGTCGGATGACAAAGTTATGAATTTTTAACGAAACTTACTTGTCTAAGCCTGTTAAAATATAACTTTAAAAATAAATTCAAAATAAGCTGGCGGAGTCTAAACGAAAGTTATAGAGTACATCACCACCTACGCGTGGATATAAAGACTGTAAAAAACAGAGCTCGTATGTGAAAGCTACGGATTTTAGAAGATAATTGGTTTTTAGAGTAATCCGCGAGTGACACGTGGCACAATCCTGACCACTGCTTCTTCCCCACGCCTTGCCACCAGATGGTGGCACTTGGCACTCAACTCGATGAGTTGGAGGCTTATAACTCGCTGAGTTGGGCCATTTCCCAGTCTATAAATAGAGGCACAAATCTTCCATTTCCTTCATACCTCTCCCATTTTTCTCTCTCAAACCTAACTCGTGAAACCCCTCCCAAGCCATAGTACTTCCCAAGTGCTAAGAGCGCGAATCCTAAAGCGCCAAAAGGCTCCAAGAAGAAGAGCTTTCGGCTCAGAAGTTCTGCCCCTGCAGAGCCCGATTCCAAGCCAAACCTCCTGGTAAGTGAGTTATGCTTACTCTACTTTAGGTATAACTTGTGTTTAAGTTCAATACTATTATTATGAAGTTATAAACAATATATATTATAAAATATAATATACAAAGTGTTATTATAATATCTTTTAACTACTCGCAGTATGGGGAATCTGGTTTGAAGGGTCGCATGGGATTGTTGGATTTCAAAAGTGTTATTATAAAACTCGATGTTTTCTGACCATAAAAAAATATCATATAACTGTTCGAATTGTTATTCCATCACTTAGATGAAATTTGATTTATCTTGATTACTTGATTATTATTGGGTTTATCTATGTGAGTCGTTATAACCATGCATGATAATGACTAGTTCGTCTGTCTTGACACTCTGGTGAATGCCGGAATTGATCTTTAGATTTTGTCACCCTAGAGTGACCGAGTCTAATTGTAGCAAACAACTGAGGTGTGG